GTTAAGGAACCTGCTTTATGTATATCTTACGTCCTATACTTTGGATATGCTTCTGACATTTCCATGTTTTTGACAGTCTTGATTGGATTATTTTTCATTACAATTACTGCTGCACCCATTTTACAGATGAAAACATTGAATTTTAGAATTGGAAGATTCTCTAAGTATTACTGATGTGTACAACTGTTAAAACAACTGATGTATACAACTGTTAAAACAACAATAATAGATGTAATTATGCATTTTGAATGCAATAAAGTTTATGCTAGTGTGATTGACAGTAAAAGCACTGACTAGGCCAGGGATAGGCAACCTTGGCTCTTTTATGACTCGTGGATTTCAACTCCCAGAATTCCTGAGCCAGCATGGCTCAGCTTAGAAACCTCTCCCTTTCCCTTCAGCATGGCTGGCTCAGGAATTCTGGGAGTTGAAGTCCACGAGTCATAAAAGAACCAAGGTTGCCTATCCCTCGACTAGGCTGATTTCCATCATTGTTTTTAAAGAATAATCTATACCAGGAACTGGAAAACACTTGATTTTGTTGGGCGTCTCATTAATTTTGAGTATCATTGCCCAAAATATGCTCTAATGGCATCGCCTTATGTTGATTCTGTCTTACGTTTCAAGACTTTGTAGATGTGATGCAAGATTACTGTAAAAAGCAAATGAAATGCATTGTAACATTGTACAGAATGTAAGCAGAGTCTTGCTTCTACCTCTTGTTTTTATGTCTTAAAGGTGCATATTGAATACATAAAAAAGCTTGTAAGTCAATTGGTCTTTTATACTGAAAATAATTAACAGATAATATTGTTTTGCTATGTATACTGTTGCATTTTTGATGAGTCTTCTTGAGTCCTTCCGTCAAATATCTTTCAAAACATTTTACTGGATAAGCTAAGAAGATGATATTGTAGTATTATTCAGAAAGGTACTCAGTCAGTGAAGACAAAATGCCTTCAGGGAGGTTAGATGTGGCTGCTTTGATGTCTTTCTAGGTAGAATGACACAAGAAATTGGTACATTCTACTTATATAAGTTGGACAGATTATCTTGTAAATTAATTAGATATTTATAAATCTCTTAAGATAAAGGTACCTAAAATTAAAAACTCTCTTTTGGTCTTTGGGTTTGGGGGGTTTGTAAAGTGATAAATAAGTGCCCTCAATCTTGCAAATGCTTTAATGCTTAATTAAGGTTGCCTGTGAAATTTCTGAGAAAATAGAATTTGAGCTGTATCACAGCCCACCTACCAAGAAAAGGAACACAGTGGCAAATTAGCAAAACAGTGGGGGGGGGCTAGATCTTTTCAAGGGTTAGGATTTCAAAATTATTATAGGGTTTCTGCATAATTTTATATTACTTAAAACATGGTTGTATCAAGATGTCTGTATTAGTTCAACTTCTTTAATTGTATAGTTTAATTATTTATTTTCTTTTAATTTAATTTACAACCCATTTGGAAGTTAGTGACTAGGAATGAATAGTTTTAAATTTGGGTTGTTTAGGTGATTTGAAAGTTGAGTTTATTTATTTGGGCTTCTGAAGAGTTGGCAGAAACTTTATTCTTCTAAACCAGTTATACAGACTTCGAAGATCTGTTTTTGAAAATTAGATAATGCACATACAGATCTGAAGAGCTCATTAAGAAGAACTATATACAAACCTTGACACACTAAAAGAATATTAAATCAGTTCAAATTGTGCATAGCCATGTAAGGTTATTGAAGCATTTCAAAACGTTGAAAGAGCTTGAATTTGAAAAGGGCAAGTAGTTTTAGAGACTTAATTTTAAACACTTATTGAAATCATTCTGAAGCAGTGAGGAGCTTTAATCTCTGGATTGTAAAATGCTGAGTTTCTTAAACTATTGTCAATAACTGAGATATGAAAAGTTTTGTTTGGGTTGAATTGCAGGATATTTTGAATCCTGGAAGGAATAAAATGACTTTAGGGGCATTTAACTTATGGCACTTTCAGAATGCTGAGCTTTACTTAGAAGGTCATTGTAAATGACTAAATCCCTGTTATAATGACAATTTATACAGAGTGACATAAGCCAAGGTTTATGTAGAAGAATCAGTGCAAAAGAATGAAAGAAGTTGTCAGGAAAGCAAGGTTTAAGAAAGATAAAGTGCTAGAGAATAATGTAGTTGATAACTATGGAATTAGCAGGAAGAAAGGTACTAAATTTGGGGGGGGGGAGGGGAAGGAAGCTAATCAACCAAAATGTTAAATGACAAAAATGTTTCAGGAACTGACTATTAAGTTCTTAAAGTCAACTTATTGTTTTTATATTTATTTTTCTACTTTAAACGATTTTGATCTCTATAATTGAACACAAAGGATAAATAAATTATAGGAGAAACTGAACTTGATAGAATAAGTTGCATAAAACACAGTCTCAATATAACAGAATACTGGAGATTGCCCTAAAGGTTAAACTAGGAGATTCAACTGACAGCCCTTTTCTGCAAGGACTGTTTGAAAGTTAAAGAAAATAAATATCTAGACAAATGCTAACCAAAAGCAACTCAGGGGAAACAGCATCAGTGTCCTTTTTATGTTTGGTTGGTTGTTTTTGGATTTGGGCAAGAGCAATGTTGCAATGAGAAATGAACAGAAAATAGAATATTATGGCTGAATGTGTGATTTCATTCCATTGGTCTCTGGTTTATACACATATTCTTTAGCTTTAAGGATTTTTAGTCTCAGGGATTTTTCAATATTTCACCAGAAATATTTCAGAGTGAGATATTATTGGTGAAGTACTGTATTGGCCTAGTGCAGTGTTTCCCAAACTTGACAATTTTAAGGCATGTGGACTTCAACTCCCAGAATTCCACAGCCAGCAATGCTGGCTGTGGAATTCTGGGAGTTGAAGTCCACATGCCTTAAAATAGTCAAGTTTGGGAAACACTGGCCTAGTGGTTAAGACACCAGGCTAGAAAGCAGGAGACAGTGAGTTCTAGTCCTGCCTTAGCCATGAAAGCCAGCTGGTTGACTTTGAGCTAGTCACTCATTCTCGACCCAGCTTTCCTTGCAGGGTTGTTATTGTGGGGAAAATAGGAGGAGGAAGGTATGTTAGGTATGTTTGCTCCCTTGAGATATTTATAAACATAATCAAGGTGGGATATAAGTAAATAAAATAATTTAGTCATCAACAGTAGCTAGGCTTAGTTAGTGTTTAGTTCAGTAAAACTAGCTTTGTTTTTGGTACTGGCCCTCTTGCTAAATAAAAGGCCAGGCAGCTTTAAGATCTGAGAGTATAAAGGAATCAGAATTTCAATAGAATGACAATGTTTTTCTATCATTCAGTAACTGATTTCCTCTTTCATGAAGATACACTTCTGCTGCATCACAAACAGTATTCTATAAAGCATCACTCATACTAATATCCTTACATGAATGAGTTTTCTAGTACATTTGCAATAGTGGTATGCTTATGAAGACAACATCCAGATTTTTTCATGCAATGAAAAGTGTATTTCCCATGAATAAGAAAATGGTTGATATGTTGTTTTTGAAAGGAAAGCAAAATAGATGTATAAATAAATAGTGAAAAAAATTATATAAAAAGCATTTAGATATTTAGCTGATATTTAAAATTAATTATTGGGTTCAAGAGTGTGAGCAGTGCAGTGGCCTAGAGGTGAAGACTCTCACCTCCTACTGAAATGATTGAGAGTTCAATCTTAGGCAACAGCAGATGTTTATCTATCAGGGTGCAAAGAGAAAATAGCTGCGAACTCTGTATAGGCATCAGGAAGGGCATCCGGCCAGTAAATGCTCAGTTCCACTCAGTCGCCTTGACTCCATCCCAAAGCAAGGAGTTACAGCAGGGGTATCAAACTGCTGGCCCACGGACCGGACAGATCACATGGAAGCCGCGCCCACCCCATTGCCGGCAATGGCAAAACTGGCCCGATACATTGAGTAATGTCATGTGACGTCGCGAGTTTGACATGCCTGGATTACAGGGTTGTAAAAAGAAAAAAACGTGTTCAAGAGTGTGATTTTGTTCAAATATAGAATTATATTAAAAATACAGAAAAGATGGATTTAAACAGTAGTCTGTTTTGTTACCTTAGTGTTTATAACTTTCAAGCAGTAGCTTGAAAAAAATGTGTGCAATCAGGTGGGCTGGTGGACAAGGAACCGTACATTGAGTATTTGTTCTGGTTCTTTTTTATGTTGTATGTATGATAGCTAATTGGCTATCTGCTATTGCTGTGTGAAGGAGGATCATTCTGTCTGATGATCTGGGCAATAATCGTAATCTAATTTGAGGCTGTCTTTTCTAGTCAGAAAATGGAATTGCACCATCTCAGCTCAAAAGTATTGAAATTTACCATCTTGCTTTAGACTTTCATTTCAAGCCTCTTTTAATATCAGGATGACAGTTCTAATCGGCATGATAGTGCTTCATTCTCTATGATACTACTTTGAAGAAGTGTTTCTGTGGGTTTCCTGCAAACTGAAGCACACATATACATAAACTTTATGTATATAATTGCCCATAAGTTGTTGAACCAGATACAAATCTAACCTCAGACAAGAACTGCTGTTTGGGAGATAATATGAAAATGTTGAATTATAAGCCATTTTCAGCTCACAGAGGAAACCCTAGATGTAAATTTAAGATTTTTTTTTCACACATAACTATAAATACAAATAACTTTATTGCAGTCATTACCAATAGAAACTATGAGTACATGTATGTTTATAAATTTTGTGTGTGTTTGTGTGTAGAAATGGTAAGAAATTCTCAAGAGTTTAGTAAATATCAAGGTTATTCATAATATTCATTTGTTACCTACTGTATATATCCCACTGAAATTAATATAACTCTCATAAATGTGAGAAAGAGAAAATAAGAGTTATTTCTTAACACACATGGGAATTAACATACATTACATAGGAAGCTTCAACTGAACCTTAATATGTCTTAGAAAACCTTATTCTTAAGATGGCTTAATTGTATTGTTTTTTTATTGTAGCACTTCAAAAGGGTGAATGAAATGAGCTCTTTCGATTCTAGTATTTGAAAAGCTAAGTAATTCTCTGGAAGAATTGTTCTAAATGAGCCTGGCCAAGATACTGGATCTGTGTGAAGAGGACTAAGGATACAATAGGATGTCAACTGAGACAGAACTTCAAGTGGCTGTTAAAACCAGCACAAAGAAAGAGTCTAAAAAGAAAGGTAGGAATTTCTTGTACTTTACAGCTTAGTTAAGGATGATTCTATTTATTCTTATAGGATCTTGTATTATTATTTTATTAGAAACTAACTGACCAGATGGGTACATCAGTTCTGTCTCCCCATTACACCTGAATGCATTGATGGAATTAAGTAATATGCAGATTTATAGATTCCTATATAAATGGGATTTGTTCTGTATTTTTCTATAAGCCTTTATAGGGGAAAGGGAATTTTCTAGAAGCTTCTCGAATATTTTCTCAAATTACTTTAAATGTGCCTTTTTATTGATTGCTTTAGACATAATTTTTGCTCTGTTTATTGATTTGTTTTCTCTTTTGACTTTATCAACCAATCTAGATTTTGATGCATATTCTAGCGAATCATATTTCAAATTTTTTGTATACTCTGATGTCTCTTCATAATGAGGATAGTGCTTTCTGGCTTTCATATGAATAAGCTCATCTGATCCTCTATTTCTACCCTGTGCTGTACATGTTTATTTCTTATCTATTCATGCAATCTATGAAGTTGCATTTACTTATAGTAGAGACTATATGAAATATTTTTGGCCTATTACACATATGTATATATTGAGGGGTATCCTTAATACATTTATGTGCATATATTTTTTAGTTTTTAAATATTCAAAATCTTTTCCTTTATAATCCAGGTAGTGGACCTCTCTATTATATCATATCTTCTCTAGAGATTTATATGGCCCGTATCCTGAAAAAGGTTAAAACTCATCCCCTACAGTGGTTGATGGATTGCTCATGGGATCTTTGTTTTATTGGTGTTGGCATTCTTTTTTTAGACATTTGTTCTGTAGGATCTCAGCTCTTATTTTTAATCATCTCAGATCATTTGCTGCCCAGAATTGGAAAGGAGATTAGCAGCTTATGTACCGTAAATGCTGGCGTAAAAGGCGACCCGGCGTATAAGACGACCCCCGTCTTTATAGCCGGGCCGCATTCCTAGAACGTCGTCTTATACGCCGGAAACTACCAGTATTTCCGGCGTATAAGACGACTCAGCGTATAAGACGACCCCCGTCTTTGGCGCCGATTTCAGCGCTCGCGGAAGTCGCCTTATACGCCGGCATTTACGGTATATATTTGTAACGTAATATAACATAACGAATGAGGGGCAGAATAGGCAGTACCGTGATCTTTTTTTCTATGTGGATTCTCACACAATTAGCAAGTGAAATGAGAATTACCATACTCCTCTGCAGAAGACCCCTTTTGAGGATGAAGCAAAATTATAAAAAACCACTAGCTTATAATAAACAAGTTCAATAAAATTCAGGAGTCGCCCTTATCAGTCAACACTGACTTCAGAATGGATTTTTTTGACTACATTTATAAAAAATGACTGCCATTGTTTTTCTTGTTTCTCATTCTCTTGTTGTCAGCTGGTCTTGAGAGTGAATTTTCTGACTCTTCTATTTCTTGGGCTAAAACACTCTTTGGACTGTATCTTGTGCTTGCCGACAACGGACTCTGTTTTTCTGTTACTGATTAATGAAGCAAATTTATCACGTAATCTATGTGGTGCATTAAAGAAGTACTTTGCAATGGTTTTGAAGTCCATGGTATAATCTTCTTTGTTCCTGCCTATCTCCACCAAAGATGGAAATTACCATGATCCAATCTGTGCTTTTCTACCTGTCTTATACAATAGATGTGACTTGTCTGGTGTGTTGGCAAAAATTCCTTTCTGTCAGTTTATGCTAAAATGAACATTTGAAAGAAATGCTAGTGTCCTTCTTTCATTCTTGTTGCTCTGAAGGGAAACCCTTGTAACTTATGCAGGAGATAATATTTGAGGAAAAAAGAGATATCTTTAAGATTGACAACTTGATCCTATTCCTTTCCTATTACTTAAAAGTGCATGAAAGAGACTTTAGAGCTGGATACTTTCTCTAGTATTATTTAGTATAGCTGCATGTAGCTAGTGCTGGGGGGTTGGTGGGAAGGAGGAAGGAAAGGGGAAATAAATGTATACTTAATGATATAAGAGTGGGATATTGAATCTTTACGGATGCAAGAAAACATCCAAATGCGTTGATGATATTATATAGTTGGGTAATGAAACATCTGCAGGCAAACAAGCAAGAAAGCTCAGAGAGCACCAAGGATTCTACAGTGCAAGTAAACAGTTAAACCTCACTTGAACCCAAGACCCTGGAGGTGAAGTAAGATAAGGTTCTCACAAAGCAGAATGCAAACCATTACAAGTTATATTCAGCAGTAGCAGAATAGGAAAACGATATAGCTTTGCTTTGATTTCAGATTTACAGCAACTGAAACCCAGTTTATCTACCCAAACAGAAGAACATCATATAATCAGTTCTGGATTTGGCTTCAAAGTGATTAAACATCCTCTTAGGGAAGTACTCTGAGTAAATCATGCTTATTTTGTCCTTTTGGGTGGCTTCTTTTTCTGCTGTATTGGCACTCTATGAACTATACTTGGACAATGCTGAGAAGTTGACACTTTACTCCATAGTCCTGTGCTCTTCAGTGACTGAAAAAGAAGTAAGTGCCTGAAATCAGCTTCACACTGTAAAGAAGAAAAAAGGGAGCTGCGTAGTTCCCATTCTTCTTCCTACGACTTGCTGGCTTAGTCAATAAATTATGCTTAAACAGCGTATGACTTAGAATTTGTGATTGATGTTGAATCACTTAGTAGAATTTGTGTTTAATGCCTTTCTGTAAGGCAGGATTCCTAGAATTAGCAGACAGAGATCACCGGGCAATGACTTGCTTAGCAAACTGATACATATTCTTGTGGGTTATGATATATGGAGAGGTACTTTAAAAATTAAAGGCCAAGAATTCCTTCTGAGCCATCAGTGTGAGCTCACAGTCTGCAGCAAGGAATGCTTAGGAATAATTAGGAAATTGAAAAAAAAATCACACATTGCCCACTCCTGCTGTCAACATAAGGAATTGAAAAACTTCAGCCATTGTTATATTCTTGGGCACAAGTATGTTTTTTAGTATTTCACAATAATTGGTTAATTGTAATTGTTAGGATATATGTTTTAAGCCATTAATATAATAACTGTTATGAAATTGTTCACTGGAGCCTCTAGAACAGTGGTTCTCAACGTTTGTGTGACGGCGACCCCCATCACACAAATGTGCCGCGCATGTGCGGTGGCGCGCGCATGCACGGCGCCCCCCATGCGCGGCGGCACCCCCTGAGGGGGAAAAATGGCGGATCGCCTTGTTTGGCGACCCCCGAGAAATGGTCGATTGACCCCAAATGGAATCGCAACCCATAGGTTGAGAACCGCTGCTCTAGAATGTAAATAACATTTTTTATTGAAGTCAGAATGAAACAAATAAGCCTTTGGTTTGAAAGCCAGTGTATGTTTTAGTGTATTAAGCAATCTATTTTCAGCTTGACTTCTCACTTCAGTAAGAGCTCAGCTTTATAATCATGGCACAAATACCATTTTTATGAGATATGTTCTCATGATATAGTTTCTCATTTTATAAAGTTGTGTTTGATTGTTCTGTAAGATTTTGCTGTAAGAAAAATCCACAGTTTCTTGGAAATGACCTAGCCTATGTGATGGTCAGTGTCAGGAAACTGCCCATTCCCTGTGGGCATGCCCAACTCTCCATCCCATGTCTGGGCACTCTTGTTTTGCCATTTTGTCTTCGGCTGTAGGAGAGACAAGAAAGCTGGATTTGTAGTTATGTTTTGTTTGTTTTTGTTTTGACAAAGGAATATTGATCCCTTAGGACTGAGGAGGTCTTTGGTGTTCTTTGAGCTTGGTTGTTTTCTTGCAGATGTTTTATTACCCAACTAGATAACATACCCAATGCCAGAAGGGAGTAGAGTCAGAGAGCAAACCCCATTGCCTTTTAGCACTTATTTTACCTGATTGGGTAATGAAATGTCTCCAAGAAAACAGTCAAGCTCAGAGAGCACTAAGGAACCCACAGTTAAAATCTGAGCTACAGATAGTCTCTTCTATTGATCTCCTAAGAGACCAACATTTTAAAATTACTATTTTTAACAATGAAATACATATCTTCTGTCTTCCTGCTGACCGTTGCCCCTGTAATCATTATGGATTGGACTGTAAGAGAATACTTGGACACTTGGCTTGTGCAGAATAGTTCTTAAAGAAGGATATCTGTTTACTTATTGGTTGTAGCATTTTTAAAGATATCTGAAAGATGTCTGTCTGACATCAATAATTAAAAGCAAGTGGAAGTAATTCTAATTCTTAAATATATTACTTCACATTCTATCCTAACTTCAAATGGTTACTTGCATAGCAAAGAAGTGAGGACAAAGAGATTTGAAGGAATCCTCTCAGGGATTTAATTACATTTATTTTGGCCATTTCCCCATAAAATGGGTATCCTATTGCAAGAGTCAACATTTTTTTAATAAATCTGACTCATGAGTTGTCTGCTCAGTTTTGTTGCTGTACAGGAGAATAAATCAGGTTATTAATAACCTTGAGAAAGGAAATTGTATGGTTTTATTAGTCATACTTATTAAAAATGTGTAATCCCTGATGGGAATTATAATAGTAAGAGAAGGCTCGTTGATTTAAATATTTATAGATTGAGGTACTAAAGATTTATTACTTCCACTTGAAATGTACACTGGCATTTCATTTATTTCTTGAGATGTTAACTTCATCACCTGAAGGAAAATATGGATAATTTAAAGTAAATCTGCTCCTTGCCCTTTCTAATTCATAGCCTGCTGCTCATCCCATATTGGGCAAGATGGTCATTTTTGCTCTGTTGATGAAGAAACAGTTTATTCATAGATAGACAAAGCTTCCATTTCATTCTCTTTTTTTAACACATTTTATTGGTTTTTTTTTTTTTTGATTCTTAAGAAAAAGTACTCAAGACCCACCGTGGTAGTTGGATGGTCCAACATTCAAAAGTAAAAACATATATAAACAAGTCCACTCAATACATTTCAGTATCCCCTCTCTATTTCCCTTGATTAACATG